GCACCCAGCACCCGCCTGCATGTATCCTGAGCTCCTCCAGCATCACACTGGGACCTGGCAGAGAGGGGTTGAGTGACTCCAGGCATCCCCCCCCCAAACCTCAGCACCCCTCAACCTGCCACACACCAGTTTTGGGGGACCCAGGGAGCCACCAGCACAGCAAGGAGTGCCAGGGACCACACAGATTCCTGCCTGGGTGCTTTGAGCTGGGGTTGGGCTCTCCTCACCCACTATTTCCCCTGCTGTTTTAAAACATCCAAAACTCAGCATCTCCCATCTCTCCCAGCTCCACAGCCTCGCTGCAGGAAGGTTTCCCCGGGCATCCCGCTGAGGGGCTGGCCCCAGGGATGCCCCACACTGCTTTTCCCAAGCACCAGCTCCAGTTCAAGCCCATCACTACCAGAGGGAGCTGTGGCCCCTCAGGGGCCACCCCGCTGTGCAGAACCATGGCTGGCCAAATAGATGGCTTCTCCCATGCCAATGGCAAGGGGGATGGACCAGTTGTCCCAGCCAGGTCTCTGCAGATGCCACGTGCTATCCCAGTGGGTGACCGCGTGGCTAGGACACCACCGCTGCGGCTGGCCGAGATCACGCATGCCACTGCCTGCGCAGCCCCTCCGTGCACAAAGAGGTGATTGACGCAGCAGGCGGTGCACGGGTGGGTGAGGGTTCTGGTTGTGCTGGGGGGGCTGTGCCAGAGAGCTGGGGCAAGGGATGGGTTTGGGGCTCGTTTTGAGCCACTTTGGAAGTCACTGCTTGTTGTCATGGCTCCTCACAGCAGGGGCACCCAGGAGAGGCTCCTGACAGCCCTGGCACTGGACGAGGCTGGAACCGGGCAACAGGCACGGGGCGACTTCCCCAGCCCCCCAAAAACGGCCTGCCACTGTCTCCTGCCCCCCAAAATCACATCCACCTGGGAGGGCCGAACAATGGAGGTGCCTGCCCTGGGCAGCATTTCCCTGGGAAAAGCTGGGTGCCACCAACCAGGGACACATCCCTCCCAGCCCCACCTGGCCTGGGCAAGCCGGGGCAATGCTGCCAGCACACGGCAGCCCCCCCCCACCCCCACCGCCGGGGCAACGGGTGGGTGACCACAGGGCCCGCTCTCCCTGAAAGCCACTGCCCGGCCCCTGCACAGGCACAGAAGGACCGAGACAGTGTTGGGTACCAGCAATGTCTTTATGTAGGTGCTGGGAGGGGGAGCAGGGGGAGGAGGGCAGCGGTGGCCC